GCTACATTTGTGCGCTGAAGCACTTCCATTGGTATCCTATCAATTGCAAGCCCCACAGCAATGGGTGTGTTGTAATGCCTGAAGCATGGTCCCAGAGGTGGGCTCAGCTCCAAGTTTGATGCCTCTATTTGTTCCACGAGGAACAGAGACTTACAGAGGTCTGAGGTCACCAGGCAAGTTGGGAGTTAAGGTAGATCTCACTCCTTTCTCTAGGAAGCACTACTGGGCCCTGGACCTTCTCAGGAAGACTCATCTTCATGAACCCATCATTCACCGTGTCCATCCACCACCTCGAGGGTTTTCCCTCATTTCTAGTGACTAGTCTTTCCTGATGGCATCTCCAAAGCAAGTGAGGCATTGTCTCACCATCCTCATTCCTGAGGAACATTCAGGCTCTAGTTTCTTCCCCCGAGACTCGTTTGTTCCTCCTTCCGGCAGTCCACAGTGTATTCCATCAGTATCATTGGCCAACACCACAATCTGAGTGGATCTGTTCTTCTTCTGTCTTCATTTTCCATTATTGACTTTTGGATGCACATCCAAGAGTGTGATTGAAAGCATAAAGGCTGCTCTGCAGTGCCCGTCCTGTAGTTCCTGCTCCGAGGGGAGAGGGCACAGGCTGGTGGGCAAAGTAGGCGGGGACATCATTTCAGCCAAGAGTGACCAGTGTCCACATGCAGATGGACGAAAGGCACATCCTAATCTGTGTTGACTCTCTACCAAGCATAATGTCCTCCTCCAGGGACTGGCGCCCCTGACAACATCCAGAGTACATTAAACAAGTCTCCTCATGCTCACTGCTAATGAGCATTCTGGCTGCACTTCTCTCAAGGCTGACTTCTCCATCCTTCCGGAGCGCCACCCAACTTTGTGTTCACAGATGTGACAGGAAAGGGAAGTGGTTGCTTTGGGAGAGAGCAGAACTTTCAAAGGATTTTTAAGGGGTTGTTTCAAAAAAATTTTTTTGAAGAAAAACTTACATTAAGATCTGACCAATGATTTTAACTGAGAACTTTTAAGTAGCCAAAGAGGGAAAAGGACTTGTAATATTCATTCTGTTTAAAATAGAAAACGTACATATAAGAGAGAAAAGAGAACTCTTTTCCTGCCCCAGATATCTAGGATTGCTTTAGCGCTTGAGTGATGCCCTTAGAGTGGAAGCAGACAGTCATAGCTTCCACCTGGGAGGTGGCTCAGGGGTTCTAATCACTAAGTTTTTGCTTAGAGTATGGCTGCTAACAAAAAGCTCAGCAGTTCAAATCCACTAGCGGCTCCACAGTAGGAAGGTGTTTTCATATTGATTCCAAGTTTGGAATTTCTATGGAGCAATATCCTCTGCCCCACAGGGTTACCATGAGTTAGAATCAACACTCTCCTCTCTCTCTCCCCCCCAACACACACACTCTTTCTCTCTCTCTCTCTCACACACACGCACACA